TAAAGGCTATAAAAGATACGTATTGCTATGTAGTAACATTTCTTGTTTTCCCAACAATTAGAATACATCAAAACATATGTTATTTTAATATGTAATCACATTTGAATGCATGCTTTTATTTATAAAACACCATCTATAGCTCAATGCTTTGAGTTCCCAGGGTCCCTGTGAAGATTTTACATTTATAGTTAAGATGAAGAAAGCTTATTTTGCTTTGATCCAATATAGTATTTGTTTCATTTTCATAACAATGCTGTTTTTGTCACTCGCACCTTTTGTGTCTGGTTCAATATCTCTGGAATGTGTGTGCTTTGTAGAGCATGACAAGTTTGAAGTGTTAAAACATGTCATTTTATGATGAAGTTTGATGTGTTTATAGATGTGAAAACTTACATTTCTCCCTTACCAGATCATCATGTGCTGATGGAATCCTGCAAGGATGGTACCTAGCAGTTTTTAAACTAAGAATTGTATTGAGCAATGCATTGACAGACTAGCAAGACATCTTACTTTTTATACTTGCACATGGAGATTCTCTTAGTTAGACCGGCACGGGATGTCTTTCCACTGTTGTAACAACTGAAACAGTTACAAAGGAAATATCAGGAAATATACATTTTCTCACTGTTTTAGGCAGTTGCCATATAAAAACTTTTGCTAAATACTAATTTTCTTTATCTGACTGTTATACTTGTTTATAGAAGGCAGTATAGTATCATGTTCTTCTGAAACAATTATAATGTTCCAACAATGGAATGTTTTAATTTTGAATATAACAATTATTTATGAGGGCTAAAGCAAAACACTTGTGTGATTATGCTTTGATGGAAGCTCCCATTCCCTAACATGTTCTGCTTAGAATATGAGGGTCAGCTGACCTATACATTTTCCAGGCACTGGAGTGCAACAGCAATGGCTGCTTCCATTAGAATTCAGTCCTACAGGTGTTTTCCTTTGGGACTGAGTCTCTGTAACATTCAGCAGAAATATATATGCAGAAAAATATATTTTATCTTATAAAACAGCTAAATTAATTTGACATAAAAATACTTCTAAACAAAATTCTATTTGACAGGTCTAAAACAATAATCAGACCGCCTTAGCCTAAGTTCAATTCTGTGATGCAACATTGCATGTGCATTGCAGCGCACTTTTACACAAGTTACCATCATTTGAATGGGCTGCCTACCTTTAGATTGCACCAAAGAAGTAAATTACTCTTTTTAAACTGCATTGCACCACAACACATGTTAATAAGCTCATATGTATTGTTGTGTGATGCAATGCACATGCAATGGCTACATGTGTTGGGGTGCCATCTTTTGAAACCAAATCCCTCTGTCCTTCTTTCCTCCTCAGCTGTCCCTCTTTTTAGCCTTATGTACAGACCTCTATAAAAAAAAAAAAAAAAAGTACTACTTACTACCAGAGGTATTATATTGCTCTAATCCTCCATCCAGTATAAAGGAAAAGTAGGGGTGAAAAAAGCACTTGTAGGTTTAACCATTAATTGTTTGTGGACTCTCTATATGGGGGCGTGCCATGGGTGTGTCTTTTGCCTACTTACTTTGTAATAAAAGGTGTCCCTCTTTATCATCTAGGAAAGTTGGGAGATATAGGTATGTAAAATCTAGAAAGCACTTTACTTTGGGACCTGAATACAAATGTCTGGGGCAGAGAAACCTAGCAATTGTCAGGAGAGAGATCTGCAGTTACACATTTCACCTACTGTACCACCTGGTATCACCATCAACCTCTGCGGCAAAAAATGTATCTCTCTGATCAAATTTCAGTCCACCATGACTCTTCCATTTTGCTACATGGAAAAGCCTCAGTCACACAAGGGGCTATTTATTTTCTGGGAAATGCCTGTTATGGAGACCTTTGCTCAGGTTTCTGAGGTTCTTGTATACATATTCACGGTTAAAGGAGAACTATGGTGTCAGTGCTTTTCCCCATAGTTCTCTCCAGGGTCATGAGAGGACAGAAACTAGCATCCCAAAGCTCAGTGACCCAAAGCT